GTTTTGGGATTTGGGGGGAGGGGAAAGTTGGGACAAGGAGAAGTGCTTGAAAATACCATATTAAAATATAAGCCCCAAACATAAGCATTGCTAACGGGGCCGCCGGGGAGGGGGCTGCGCGGGGCCCGCGGGCACCCGGGGAGGAAGGAAGTGATCTTACAGGAAGAGCCCGGGAGCTCCAGAAGAGGAGGAGGGAGGTTTGGGAGCGCTCAGGCCGGCGTGCGGGACCGGGCTGCGGGGGCGCGGGCCCGGCGGGGAGGGGTCCCGCCGCCGCAGCTGTCGTCCCGCCTTGCCGGCCCGCGTCCCGGCGGATGCTGGTCTCGCAGCCAGACCGCCGGGCCAGGAAGGAATTCGAGGCATTCGCTTTGTTTAAGTTGCCAGTAGACAGTCCTTAGGACTAATTAATGGTGGAATCTGCAGGGGGACGCGGGCGGGCCGGGCCGGGGCCGCCCCCCGCCCGCCGCAGCCGCGGTGAACTTTCCGCAGCGCGCGCGCCGGCCTCTCTGCGCACCCCCACCCCTGCCCGGGCGGGGAAGGAGCCATGGCTTCCCGAAGCTCAGGAATGAAGTGCGGTTTCTGGGGCTGGTGGCCTGGGGCTGCGGAGGCTGCCTGCAGGGAACCCGGCGTCCGGGAGCGTCTGGGCTGGGGGTTCGGAGCCCCGTTTAGCGCTCTCTGAGGTGGCTGCGGTTTCTGTTAATAACCTTGGAGGAGGCTCTGCGAGCCGAGAAAGACTATCTTGCTTTGGAGCATCTGTTTCTTCATCGCGTCAGCCCCTTTCCTAACACTGCAGAGCTTGTTGTGGCATGTTTCGGAAATGCCGAGACCAGTGCTCACACTTGAGGGTGGGAGAGGGGAAGAGAATATGCACCCCCCCCAAAAAAAAACACAAAAAACGCTGCAGTGCGATCTCCACAAAGACTGAGGCTGCCTGCAGATTCTCTGTCGCACCTTCACTGACTTGAATGACCTTGGGAATAAAATTGTGCTTCCGAGCTCCTGGTTGCCTCATGTGTCGATTGCAGAGAAAATATTCTCTGGACTTCCCTGCCTTTGGGGATATTTTGAGAGGTGGGATTTGTTCAGGGCATTTTACAAATTGCTACAGTTCTGGCCTAAGCAGCTGGACTAGTGTCAGAACCAGGGGAATTCAGATCACCTAGTTAAGATTTTACTACCTCAGATTAGGGAGGGAGGGGTTTAGATTTTCGGGCGGATATTTTCCTTCTGAGAATTTGTTCAGTATGTTCCAGATTGCTTTCTGTCACTGTGTGCGGGTTTGGTGTGGTGAAATAGAATAACCACCATTGAAAATTCTTTTCTTGTCAGAAATAATTATTTTGCTCAGAATTCCCCTTGGGGCAGATTAGGGTTTTGCTCAATTTACTCAGAAGAATTTTCCAGGTTTCTAAAATTAAATCACTTTTCTAAACATAGTAACTAAAGTTTGAAAAAATGAAGCAGTGGCATGCAAAAGGGAGTTGATTAGAGTATGAACAAGGCAGCAAATGCAGGTTCATTGTTCTGTGATTACTAATAGGGATTGTGAATTAACCTTGATTAATAGATGTTTTTCTTACTCTTAAAAAATAATTTAAGACCAGGAAAGGGAACTAACATTGTTGAGTTGCCTACTCTGCCCAGTAGTTGTGGTAGGTGGGGTATATCTCACATAGTCTTCACAACAATGCTCTGAGGTGGTAGTTGACATCCCTGTTTCACAGATGAACAAACTGAGGGCCAGACTGTAAAGGTACTTTCCCAAGTTTATAAATACAATTAGTAAGAAGTGGAGCAGAAATTCAAACTCAAGTCTTTTTCTAAGGTCCACGCATACTGCGTTGGAAACCAAGAGGCGTAGTTTCTAGGCCTTTGACTCAGCCACTGGGTCACTGGGGACCCTAGACTAAATAAATTAAGTCTATTTCCCAATAACGTTGTCTTCTTCCAGCAATGTTAGTATGCTTCTTGAGATGTTCTAGTTGTTTGGTAGAAAGACAAACATGTAAGGTTGTGGTAGTGTGATGTCCGTTATGCAGTAGGTGCTTAATAATTTTTTTCTTATGGAGTACCTGGGTGATCATAGATGGCATTTATGAAATGGAAGATGTTGGATAGCTAATGGTCCTTCCACTGTAGAGGCCAGCAGTAAGATGACATTTGTGATCATAAACAACCATTTTTCATGTAAAGTGACTTTTTTGGGGCAGTGTCAGCTTATAAGTAAAGCACATAACAGGTAGGACTCAGATAGTCAAGCTGAAAGATTTGGTATAAACTTTGATGCACATAATAGATGCTCAGTAAATATTTGCTGAATGAATAAATGCATACATTCTTTTTTAAAAGTTAGCTTTATTGAGGTATAATTTACCTACAATCAAGTTTACCAATTTTAAGTTTGTACAGTTTGTGATGTGTACATGACAAATGTATATAGCTGTGTAATCACCACTATTGCCTTCATTTGTTTAAACTTATCTTTTAGGTATTGGTTAGCAGAGTGATTCCTGGGAATGTTGTGAAGTTTCTATGTTCATATTCAATACTGGTGTGATCAGAGTGAATACTAGAGAGTCAGTGTGCCAAAACAGGGAAACCTTAGGTATTTAATGGTAAGGTGCATGAGAAGATTAAGAGAGGTAGCGATGGGGACACTTATCAAATCAGGGGAAAGACAAATTCGTGAGGAACCATGTTTTCATTACTTTTAGGACAGAGGATACATTGTGGGGGGAAAAAAATTACCCAACGATTTATTAAGGATCAAATTGAACTTTTATTTTTCTTTCCTTTTTGAAATTGTAGCTCCTGAAATAGAAAAGTTAACATCTTTGGCTATACTTAAGAAGTGCTTACATGTTATGCTTGTTCAAATAATTCTTAAGGGTGGGGATGCTATAAAATGATTGAAGGCCTTGCCCTTCCACCTGTGACACAATATCCTTAGTGTTTATCTCTAACATGTTTTAGCTAATATTCCGCATTTAGAAACTGTGTCTTGCTGTGAAGATGTAAGATTATTTTTTTCTGCTCATAATTTCTCAAGTCACTGAACTTGCCCCCAATCTCCTTTCATTTAAGTCTCTGTCTTAGAAAATGCTTGAAACCTGTTACTGAGCTTCTAGATAAAAGAAGCCCCATTTTTACCTCTTACTTCATGTTTCTCTTTATCCATTCTATTTCTATATGTTGACTGTTTTATAATCATCCTCTCTCACCCATGAATCCTGAGAATGGAAACTTCTTAACCATCAGCCCTCCATATACAATTAGGAAATAATAATTACATTATTGTACCAGTCTACCAACTCAACATTTTGGATTATGATAGGGAGAAAAATAATAACTATGACGTAGTCATTATCCTCATTTTATACATGAGGGAGCTGAGCTCAGAGCAGTTACTGCCATAGCTAGTGAGGGGCAGACCATTGATTTGGACTCAGATATGTGATTGATACTCAAGTTTGGGATCTTTCTGTTTCATTACATTTTCTGGTGTTTTGGGATTTGGGGGGAGGGGAAAGTTGGGACAAGGAGAAGTGCTTGAAAATACCATATTAAAATATAAGCCCCAAACATAAGCATTGCTAACCTTTTTAGGCATTGATGTTTTCATCTATTCTTTTCTTAATTTCTGGAAATACCACCTTATACACCTCCTTATAAATTCTAAAGGACATGTAGCTCATCCTTTATTGCAAAACTCCCTTCCCAGCACTTATTCTTTATAAACATGGTACTTTGCATTCACTGGCTGTTTGATTTACTCCTCCCCCTATTTTATGTATATCTGAAAGCATCAGGTTAATCAGTCAATCAAGACCCTACACATTTGCATATATTCCTCTAGTTCCGCTTTATCTGGATAGAGTAATAGTTTAAAAATGTATATCATATCATTAAAAACTTGCATATAATTTTTAAAACTTATTACAATTTTTATTGAAGCATATAATATATGTATATATACACATACAGAAACACATATGCGTACCATAAAAGTACAATTTGGTGACTTTTTTACAAACCGAATATACCCATGTAACCAGCACCCAGATCATGAAACAGCATTACCAGTACATAGAAGGCCCAATCAAGGTCCTTAACAGTTCCTGATGCCCCTCTGTCCCACAGGGTGACTTCTAACTTCATAGATTAGTTTTGTCTGTTTGTGTACTTTTGTAAAAATGAAATCATATAGCATATATTCTTTTGGGCCAGGCTCTCTTTAATGGTATGGCTGTGAATGTGCAGAAACTTCTAAAGGCTTTCTTTTAGGCTTGGAATAAAATCCAAATTTAAACTCTTTATCTTGGCCTATAATGCCGTGTATATAACCTGGTTCCTGCCTCCCTCTCCAACTTCATCTTATGCTGGTCTCATTGTCCATTAATTATATTTATTTATTTGTTAGTTAGTTTGTTTCAGGTGTACAAAGCAATGCAATAGTTATACTTTTCACCCCTTACAAAGTGACAACTCCCTTTCCCCACCCAATTCACCCTCCCCCCA